TTAAATGGAAAATTTAGATCCTTGTAATATCTAACTAATTCTTTTTCAATCATCGCTCGAGGTTAGTACGCAATTTACTTCGTAATTGTAGATCTGATCGCTCTTACTCGTGGCATAGACGACGTTGAATCCGACTTTCCTAGGCATGTTGCGGGAGTGTTGATCGTCGGGAAATGGCAACCAATAAAGCGAACAGCGTGATAAACGACTGAAATGTTGTACCACGAAGCGCACGGGACGAACGAACGGAGAGGAACGGAGGGACACGTCAAAATCTAAAAGGCACAGCCATCTGCAAGCTCGATAAAGGGGGAGCTTGCAAGTTTCACCCCGGCGCGCAGGCCACCCCACTCGCGCATCCGGCCGCGGCGAAGCTTGCGACAGAACTGGCTTCGCGCTGGAAGGCTGAAACCTCCGTCTCCGTCTCCAATAATAGTTGAGAGATTTTCCTGCGAAAAGGCATGCGTAATATTCGCGAATTCGCTAACACGACGCAGATATCGGAATGATGCCGCGATGTTGCTATGAAATTGATAGAGACTTCTGCGACTGTTGAACATTCTTGAAAAGAAGGGATGAATCACAGAAATTTAATACGAATATTTATTTCCCTCGAGTTGTGAAAGATAAAGAAGATTCTTCTCGTAATAATTGAATAGCTTTCCGCGTTCCCCTTTCTATTCTTATCTATTTATTTTAATTCTCGCGAGAAGCACTGCGGAATTCAACACATAAATTATCTCTTTCCCCCCCCCATCTTTTTCATTTAAAATTGTTAATTGGAATTATGTAATCTTTTGCAATTCTATACTTGGTATTTTAATCACTGATATCTTTATTTTGCGATCTTAAATTTTTTGAACATCCGAGTTTTTTATTTCGAAAAAAATTATTCAACACAGAAATAAATTTCTTCTGTGTGTTTTATTAAAGTTTACTCGATCTTTTTATTTAGTAAAACTGGAATTTTTTCGGCAAAACGTGGCGTAAATTAAACGAGGAAGTTGCGTAATATTTGAGAATCTCTGAAAAATTATATTCATGAAGAATGTACAGCGTTTGTTTACTATATAAATACCAATATTCTACTGATGTAGTCTACTCATGTCTCGCATTCTACTCGAGTCCGCTCGAGTCGAAATATAGCCTGTAATTTCGTAATGGATCAATAAATGGAGGCTGCGTGACGTCAGAGGGTGCGGCGAGGGTGGACGAGCCCACGAGAAGCGTCTTATACGCATGCTCCTTTTTATCGTTCACGGCCACGTGTAGAGGCACGTGTTATTTTGGAATAACTTTGATTATTTTCGTGAAAACGTTCTAAAAGCGTTATAAAAGAAAATATCGCATAAAAATATTCGTGTAACGGAATTAAATATCTGACATATTGCAATCTGTGTCAATATATTGGTGATTCCATTTAATGGTGTTTACGACGAGAATGATATTTCATGTTTGAATTGGAAAATATAATTAGTATATACAATATATATAAAATGATATTTTAATAATTTATTTTAAAATATTTATAACCTTTTATATAACTTTTTTAATATACATTCACATATCAATTCCTTACTTTAAAAAAGGGTAATTATTTAGAATTAAATCCCCCCTTCACTTCAAATCTTTTTTTTGTCAGATTCTTTCGTTTTTAGTGAAAACACGTCGAATAAGTGTATTTTTATTAAGATTTAAGGTAGGGGGGGGATTATTCTAAATAATTACCTCTAAAATAACAAAAAATTAAATTTTTCAGGAAAAACTATTTTTTCAATTTAGCAGAATATTAATGACTAAATAATATCGACAAAAGGAATATACTCTTAGAAACATGATCAAATGTTACGTTTGTTACTTTTGTTTCAAAATCTTTAAAAAAATTTTTTAAGTTGTGACGATTTTGATATTCTAATATACAAGGAACTGAATTATTTTGAGTTGTGATACTTTGATGTGTATTTGTATAAACAAATTTACTGTTGTGACACTTCTGATGTTTATTTGTATTATCAAAAGTTATGTGTGTTTTGTATATTGGATTTTTAATGTTAATTTCAAGGAATTTTTTGAAAAAGATGTAGATGAATCAACAATATAAGGATTATAGTCTTTTCTTATTCTTACAGATATTTCCAATTACGTAGTAGCAAAAAGATACAAAAGGCCTTTTGCAAATTGAAAAATCTCTGAACCACCCAATTTAGATTGACCATAGACCCTATCGACGAATGTAATTGGTACTTCTCCTATTGTATAATTGAATTGTCTAGCTCTGACTATCATTTCCATTTGGAATACATATCCTTTAGATACACAGGATTGTATGAGCTTTTCCAATACATCCTTTTTATAAAGTCTAAAATTATAAAATCACATATTAAAGAACACATTGGAGACTATTTTATGAATATTTTATAAGAACACGTAGAACTAAGTCTATAAAAAAATTCATTACCTAAAACTACCCGTTAAGTCACTTGCACCAGGTCTCAATAGAATCTGTGTTAAAAAATTTGCACTTCTACTGACTAACTTTCTTTTGAAATCCCAGCCGTAAACACCACCGCCTTGTGCATATCTTGTACCACTGACTACGTCCAGATTAAGATATCGTTGTAATTCAGCCATTTTTGGAATAAATTTGGGCTGAAAATTAAAGAATGTGTTTTATAGAAATACTTATAATTATTACTTCTCCATTTATTCATTAATGCGATACATACATGATGAGATAAATCAGCGTCCATGATAACAATGAAATTTCCAGTTGCATATTTAATTCCATGCATGTAAGCAGTTCCTAATCCCAGTTTTTTCTCTCTCGGCTTTAAGATTATTTTATCGTCGCCGTAGACACGTTGCAATTGCTTAGCCATGTTCAGAGTTCCATCTGGAGAACCATCGTCTATCACAATAATTTCGTAGGCAAGCTCGCTGTAACGTTGTAAATTACAACAAAACTCTTTAACTATACTATATTATTTAGCTTAAGTTTATCGATTTTTATTTTATTTCATTAATTATACATAAATTTTGATCAATTCTAGGTTATGTCTAGTTACCTCTCCTCCATATATTTCACAATGAGCCATATTATTATCGGCAAATTTTCCACTTCATTATAAGTGGGAAGTAAAATTGAATATTTATCATTCTTGCACAATTCCTTTATATTTTTCTTCACCTCTTCTTTATTTACCATTTTGATGCAGCTGTTTACAACAGTTTACAAGAGAGCCGACGTACCGGAAAATAAACTCCAAACTTCAAGTACTCCAACTCGACAATTGGTAAGACTGTCAGAAATGTCAAAAACAGATGTGCAGACGCGCACGATCACAGCGACACCGCTGATATTTAAAACCGCGATTTTCAAATCAATAAACTGTAGCAGAGTATCAAATTTTATACAATTCTACAAGGAATTTTGTGAAGAAAGAAAGGCAGAAAGATAAAAAGAATTATTTAAAATTATAATATTAAAATTAGAAGAGTGATTATATGTGTGAATTAGTTAAGAATGTTTTTAAATAATTTTTAATTATTAATTGATTATGTTGAAATCAAAGTATGTTCGTCTAATAATTCTTTCTAAAAATATCATTGAATAAATACAACATAGATAGAACTTATTGTCGTAAAATATAAAATATTTATGCACAGCAAAATATTCATCTCATCTTTTATTGGAAAAAGTGATGAAAAGTATGAGTTGAATGAATATAATTAAATTGTACGTGCAAAATATAATTGAGATTATGGAGAGAACATAAAGAGAATTTTTCAGAAATTAACATAAATATTTACCTAAAAAAACATTTAATTTGTAAAGTAGCGTTATACATGATGTATTATGTAATACTACTTTTAATATAAATTATTACCTTCTCGTACTTCGATATATTCTATACTTACTCTATTGTTATATTATATATATATATATATATATATTTTATATAATTATTTATTATTTCTCTACTAAAATATTATAAAACTATCTGTGTGGAGAACTATTTGTAGTATTTTATCGGAGTTATCAAATTTGTAAACAGATAATGTCGAATTAATAAGATATAGTGATAAAAGCGTTTCTTATACCTCGTACTAATTGGGCATTTTGTAAATTTTGCTATAATTGCTGTTATATTGATCAAATTTATCGCATTTCCCCATTGATCATATATACTATTTGTCTATTTCTTGTAATAGCTCTATGATCGCCGATATCAGTTATCGCCGCAGTAATCCTACGAACATTCTGCAAATATTCGCAAAGATACTCTCACGCACACATGTTCATGTATGCATTCGCACACAAATATACATATTTCATATATATTTGGTCCATTGGCCGTTTCCGCCGCGTGCGACAAAGGTCGACTAACCAGTAGTGCCGGTCGATTACATTTTGGCACCCTGGACAAAATACTGGGCGAATTGCAAACATTAAATCTCACAATTTAATTACTTCATCAAGTACTTAAAATATACGATTAATAAGTATACACATCACATTGTGAATGCATACGTAAAATTAGTAAAATAACCGGTATATCTATTTTTTTCATTATATATTAATTTTATCGAAAAATATAAAAATTCCAATATATAAAATGTATTTGACCTTTATAAATATTATATATTTTTATGGATTACATCCATTGTATAGACGTTTGAATTTACATGCTTGACGATATAAATGCAAGTTATAGAAATTTTCTGAAACATTAGAAATTCTTATGTCTTTCTGGCAAAAATTGTACGGTTCGACATTTTTTAAATATAAATTTCCATATCTTTTCATATATTTATTGGTTCGTTTCGAGGGGTTAAATCTTCCGGACGGCACTGTCGGTAATACACCCCTCATCCCGCAGAGCAGCGTGAGTGTTCACGCCGACGACCCCCACCGCTGCCGACCTCGAGATAGCCGAGGAACAGCCGGAGCCGCCGTGCCGCCGTTCCGAAGCAAACGACGCCGCACTCTACGATCGGTCGTTCGTGGAATCGGAGTGCTCGTTCGTCCGTTCTCATCTGGTCTGGTCGGCGTGCATTTGTGTCTCTGCGAATTCACATACGACAGCGTCGGTACGTGAGATCGGGGTTGCGCTCTTTTTACCCTCCGCGTGGAGGAGACGACGCGATCCTCGACGAGAGGAAATCTGCGAAAACGAGGATCGGAGCAGATTTTGCAAAATCGCTAGTGAATGGTTGAGTGTATGCGTGTATATGCGTGTGAGTGCGTGCATGCCTGTGTGTGTGTGTGTGTGTGTGATTGGTGGAACATATCGGCAATGTGATCGTGCGGTATGTGCGTGCCGATTTGTGGGCGATTTAAAATGCGCCACCCTCTCTGCGCCAGCGGAAGCTGAGAATTCGACAAGACGCGCTCGTTGATGGTCGCCGATGGTCGCCCGGACTTAAACGAACGAATTAAACGATCAGCGAGGAATTAATTTTTACGACAATCGTTTACGAGAAGAGCGAACAGCAGCTAAGATCTAGGGCAACGATTCCGTTTGCGTCTTTGTGCTAATCGTTCTCTCAAACTTGAAAAGCTCAGCTAGCACTCTGCGTGGATCTTTTTTTGTCGGTTACTACGTTTCTCATATGGTTCTCATATGATATTTCGTGCTTTTTGCCATCGACTCCTTGTCACGCCGAGATTCTCTCGGCGGTCAACTCTTCCCCTTAACGCGTCCGCGATTTTTTTTTCGCGCAGGAAAGATCAGCCGTTCAGCAGCCGTTGAGCGAGTTTACGACTCGTCTTTTCTCACGGTCGAGAGATATCGTCCCCACGGCGGGTATAAACTGCGTCTTCGTCGCTTCTGGATCTTCAGTCATCAGCGCAAAAATTTTTTCCCGCGTCTCGTTGCATACAAGCCGAGAGTTACATGATGTGAGATGACGATGACGTAAAATACGGGCGTTACGTCTCGATGCGATCGACTTCCGCGAGAGACTCATCGTCCGATCGGATCGGATCAGAAAATAATTTCGGTGGGCCCCCGTAGCGGGAGAGGAGTTGACGTGAGGATTTAGCGGGGGTCGGACACCATCGCCAGCATCGCGGCCGTCTGGCTAGCCCTGAGCTCCGGATAGTCCGGATGGCAGCATGG